GTGGATTATTTTCGTCAACAAGGGCAAAAATCTCACCATGTCGATATCTGACCCTGTTGCTTTTCTTATTAAATTCCAATGGCTCTCCTTGGCCCTCTAGATAAAGCTCAGGCTCTCTGTCTTGACGCTCCATAACTGCCACCCTCTGGCCCTTAACTAATTCTCCAGCCTCATCTCCAGCCACTCCCCACCTCGCACTTGATGTTCCAGGAATACCAAACTTGGTTGTGGTTTCTCCAACTCCGTGCTGCCTCCTCCTTGCCTCTACTCACGCTTCCCTCCGTGCTGAGTATGCACTGTCTTATTCCCAAACTCCTTACTCCATTCATCCTTTAAGAATTAGCTTAGAAGAGTCCAGGACCAGACGGCTTCTCTGGAGAATTCTACCAAACATTCAAAGAAGATTTAATACCTATCCTTCTCAAACTATTCCAGAAAATTGAGGAAGATGGAGCACTTCCTAACACATTCTATGAAGTCAACATCACCCTGATCCCAAAACCTGACAAGGACAACACAAAGAAGGAAAACTACAGGCCAATATCACTGATGAACATAGATGCAAGAATCCTCAACAAAATTTTGGCAAATCGAATACAGCAATACATCAAAAAGATTATACACCATGATCAAGTGAGATTTATACCAGGGACACAGGGATGGTTCAACATCCACAAGTCAATCAATGTGATTCACTACATTAACAAAATGAGAAACAAAAACCACATGATCATCTCAATAGATGCAGAGAAAGCATTCAACAAGATCCAACATCCATTTATGATAAAAACCCTCAATAAAATGAGTATAGAAGGAAAGTACCTCAACGTAATAAAGGCCATATATGACAAACCCACAGCCAACATCATACTCAATGGACAAAAACTGAAACCCATCCTTCTGAGAACAGGAACAAGACAAGGGTGCCCACTTTCACCACTCTTATTCAACATAGTACTGGAGGTGTTGGCCAGAGCAATTTGGCAGGAAAAAGAAGTAAAAGGAATCCAAATAGGCAACAAAGAAGTAAAACTCTTGCTGTTTGCAGACGACCTGATCTTATATATAGAAAACCCCAAAGAATCCATAGGAAAACTATTAGAAACAATCAACAACTGCAGCAAAGTAGCAGGGTATAAAATCAACATACACAAATCAGTAGCATTTCTATACGCTAACAATGAACTAACAGAAAAAGAACTCAAGAACTCAGTCCCATTCACAATCGCAACAAAAAGAATAAAATACCTTGGGATAAATTTAACCAAGGAAGTGAAAGATCTATACAACGAAAACTACAAGACTTTCTTGAAAGAAATTGATGACGACATAAAGAGATGGAAAGACATTCCATGCACACGGACTGGAAGAATAAACATAGTTAAAATGTCCATACTACCTAAAGCAATCTACAGATTCAATGCTATCCCAATCAGAATCCCAATGACATTCTTTACAGAAATTGAACAAAGAACCCTAAAATTCATATGGGGCAAGAAAAGACCCCGAATTGCAAAAGCAATCCTGAGAAAGAAGAACAAAGCCGGAGGCATCACAATCCCTGACTTCAAAACATACTACAAAGCTACAGTAATCAAAACAGCATGGTACTGGTACAAAAACAGGTGCACAGATCAATGGAATAGAATTGGAAGTCCAGAAATAAAACCACACATCTATGGACAGCTAATCTTCGACAAAGGAGCTGAGGGCCTTCAGTGGAGAAAAGAAAGTCTCTTCAACAAATGGTCCTGGGAGAACTGGACAGCCAAGTGTAAAAGAATGAAAATTGACCATTCTTTTTCACCATTCACAAAAATAAACTCAAAATGGATCAAAGACCTAAAGATTAGGCCTGAAACAATAAGTCTTCTAGGAGAGAATGTAGGCAGTACACTCCATTTGACATCAGTTTCTAAAGAATCTTTTCGGACACCATAACACCTCAGATGAGGGAAACAATAGAAAGAATAAACAAATAGGACTTCATCAGACTAAAGAGCTTCTTCAAGGCAAGGGGAAACAGGATTGAAACAAAAAAACAGCCCACTAATTGGGAAAAAATATTTACAAGTTATTTATCTGACAAAGGGTTAATCTCCATAATATATGAAGAACTCACACAGCTCAACAACAAAAAATCAAACAACCCGATCAAAAAATGGGCAGGGGACATGAACAGACATTTCTCCAAAGAAGATATAAGGATGGCCAATAGACACATGAAAAGATGCTCATCATCACTAATCATCAGGGAAATGCAAATCAAAGCTACACTAAGATATCACCTTACACCTGTTAGAATGGCAAAAATATCCAAAACCAAGAGTGACAAATGTTGGAGAGGCTGTGGAGAAAAGGGAACCCTCATACACTGTTGGTGGGAATGCAAACTGGTGCAGCCACTATGGAAAACAGTATGGAGATTTCTCAAAAAGTTAAAAATAGAAATACCTTATGACCCAGCCATCCCACTACTGGGTATCTATCCTAAGAACCTGAAATCAGCAATTCTAAAAGTCCTATGCACCCCTATGTACATCGCAGCATTATTCACAATAGCCAAGACGTGGAACCAACCTGAGTGCCCAGCAACTGATGATTGGATAAAGAAGATATGGTATATATATACAATGGAATACTACTCAGCCATGAAAAGGGACAAAGTCGTCCCATTCACAACAACATGGATGGACCTTGAGGGTATTATGTTGAGTGAAATAAGCCAGACAGAGAAAGACAAACTCTGTATGACTCCACTCATAGGTGGTAGTTAACATATAGACAAAGAGAACTGATTGGTGGTTACCAGGGGACAGGGGGGTGGGGGGAGGGCACAAAGGGTGAAGTGGTGCACCTACAACACGACTGACAATAATGTACAACTGAAATTTCACAAGGTTGTAAACTATCATAATCTTAATTTAAAAAAATTAAAAAAAAAAAAAAGAATACTAAACCAGGGTACAGCTTCCAAACTAACAGAAGGAAAGTACTGCAATAACAACATAATAAGATATAATAATATTAATTAATTTTATTATTTATATGTATAATTAATATAATTTTATTATTAACTCTATTAATTAATTACATTGTTTAATTTGATGTTAACCTATTATTAATATAAATAACATTATATGATAATAACAATAATAAAGCCACCCAAAAGAAGAGAAGAAAAGCAACAACAGACAGAACAAAAAGAAAAACTCTATTAAAATGATTCAAATCCAAATATATCAGTAACTATATTAAATATAAATTTAATTATATTAAATGAAATTATACTTTGAAAAAAATTAAATTGTCTTACATTTTAAATTTATATTAAATTACATTAAAAGGAAAAGTTAAGTAGAAGAAATTAAATTTAAAATTATATTAAATTAAAAATTAAATGTAAATTAAATTACATTTAAAAAAGAATTAGCTTAGAGAACTAAAAAAAAAAGAAAGAATGAAAAGTCATGTGCACTGTGGTCCCATTTATGCAAAATTGAATACGTGGATATTATATAAGAATGAATATGTGGAGAGGTGACTAGGAGAGCAGTTTAAAAAAATAGTAGTTAACTTGGTGAGACAAATTTTTACTTTCTTCTGTTGAAGGATAACTTTTTAAAAGGTAAAATTATAACTCTCATACAAATATAAAGTGAACAAGTACCAAAAATTTTATTTAACTCTTTAACTAATGATGGGAACCAGTGAGATATTATCAGTGAATCAAAACTGAATTCAAAAGACCACGCATATAGAGGCCATAAGAAAGACCAAAATAAATTTGCTTAATAGATGCAAAGCTGATTTCCACGGTAGGGAAGGGAAATCAATTCATTCTCGCCCAGATGAAATTTATTTGCATCTCTGGATGGGCATCATTTACATCGCTATCAGTTATCTACACCTGGAAGAGCTATAAATAGCTCAAAGACAATGAAAGGTGCAGTGACCCCACAGAATCAGATCACCTGGAGGAGCACAAAGAGCACGCAAGACAAAGCCTAGTTTGTCATTAAAGACACCCAGTCCCTTTCAAAGTTGGGTCCATTTCGAAGTCTTTTGCAACTTTTCCCTGAACTTCCTTATAAATTTTTCCAAATATTAAATTTTTTACAATGAACATGAATCATTTTTTAAAAGCGCATCTTTAAAAAATGATAGTAATGGCAATAGAAGCTCCTTTTCCTGAGTAGACGTAGGAATCACCGTCCCCAGGATAAACTGTGTTAATGGTATGTTGCTCCTACCACACTATATCATCATCATTTTTTTTTTTTCTGCAGGCCCCACTGAGACAATGAGAGCTTTGAATACCCAAACTAAAATTCTGATAGAGTCATCTTCATATTCTGAGCGCCTAGCACATTGTAGGTTCCCGGTAAATGTTTGTCAAAAGGATGAACAAACTAACGCACTCTTGGTTTCTGTATCTTTTTTCTAAAATAAAGGAAGATGTGATGGGAGCAGAGAGGCAGAGGGAGAGAAAGAAATGCTTAGCATTTTGCTTCCCCCCCGAGCAGATTCTTTCCTGCTAAAAAGACTTGAGAAATGTTTTGGGGAAAGGAGACAGAGTGATTCTGTTACTGAACAAAATTGGGGTTCTCCTATTCAATGCACATAAATAAAAGGGCCTGAGTGTTGGCCCAGTTGGGGTCATGAGTAGCAAAGATGGGTGTAAATAAACTTTCCATCTTTGGGGGGTCATCTCCATAAGTAGGCATATTGTTTTTCCAATTATCTAAGTCCAAAGTTGAAAAGGGAGCATGCGCATACAAAAACCCTCTGGGTTGGCCTGGGTCATCCACACCTGCAGGGACTTGTCTTAGTGGGAATTTCCCCTCCTGGGGTAGAGCGTTCTCTGGGTCCAATTGAGTGTCCAACAGGTAAGAGGAGGGGAGACCATTCCTGTCTGACTATTAGGTAAAGGGGGTACAAAGCTGAGCCAGTGGCTTCAGAAGGGTCATTATGTCCTTCCTGCTTATCTCCCAACGCACCTGTGGCATACAGTGGAGACAAGGTCATCATCTGACTTTGATTCTGGGAGAACAGGCATTTTCTGTGGATCCTCCCTCTGAATCATGATTTTACATTTGTTTCCAAATTCTTATTCTGATATAAAGACAAAAAAAGATTGCACATAAGGGATCTCAACCCATTTCTTTTCTCTTTTACAGAATAGGTCTAATTGCAATGAGTGACCCGTTCTGAGACTATACCTCATCTGACCCCAGTGAGTATTGGAGCCAGCTTGTATCACAAAAGAAAATCATTTTCTTTTTCTTCATGGGGTTGTAATCGAACCTTGCCCAATTTTGAAGAATGTGTCCTAGTGGGCTACTTTCTGGGATACTATTTTTATTTCCCATTTTAAGGTGGCTTTTATCAAGGTGGCCACAACAAACAAGGTCTTTCTAGGGAAAGGTTTTAAGGTTTGATACTGTGCTTGTGGGAACAGCTGCCTCAAGAATAACCAAGTGGGGGGCTTTTTCCGTTACGTGTTCTGGTACCCAAAATGCTCGGGTGATTTGAGCCCCGGACGAGCTGCTCTGCCCGATTGCCTCACCATGAACAACGGGGGCCCAACGAGACATGTTCTTCAGGAGGAGCCCCTGTGAAGTCATTGCACATCACAGGCAGACGCCCCAACACCTCCATGAAATCCCCCATCACCTGGGGATGTCCTGAACGGCTGGAGGGAGCAGTGCCTCTTTTCTTCCTAGTCAGATAACCCTCACGAGATTAACCTAAAAGGCAGTTTGTTATGGTCATCAAAGAAATTCAGTCCCCAAGCAGCCCATTTTAACAAGTAACACAGTCAAACATCGACAAACATGAGCAGACATGGAAATCCAATACTCTGGAAGTCCAACCCAGGGTACTTTGGGACCCTATCCCAGAGTTCAGGCCTTTAACCTGATCCTTTGAGTGTAGTGCCCCAGTGGCTGCAACCCTTTTATACTGTCTCCCTTGAACCCACAATTCTAGCCTTGGGTCTTTAACCCAGCAAAATCTGTCCACTGGGGCCTCTAACCCACAATTCCGATGAGCTGTTAGACAATTTTAGGCAGTTATGTTTTAACAAGGCCACTCACCCAAAAGACGTCTGATCCTGGAGCTGTTTTCTTCTTCCAAAAGAAAAAACGCCTTGGGGCCTGAAGCACTGCAGCAGGAAAACAGGGATCCCATCAGCTGAGCCTCTAGACAAAATTGTCTAGGCGGCCACTTAGGGTTGACAAAAAGACCCCACACCCCACCAGGGGTTCCAGAGCCTCGGGCAGGTGGTCACAGGACCTTGTCCCTTCGTGGTCGCCAATTTGTTACCACACAAAATTGGGGTTCTCTTGCCTGATGCTCATAAACAACAAAAGCAATTAATTAGGGCATCAGCTTTTTGGGGGAGAAATCAGCTTTATTCCGTGAGATTGATCTGCAGGGAGACAGGTGGTGTTTGCCCTCAGATCTCTCTCCCCTGTTCAGGATTTGGGGTGAAATTTAAGAGGTTAGGGAGAACAGACTGACATGCAGAAATGCTGGTGGGACAGGTTTTGACTGGTGGGCTTCAAGCATTTACGGTAAGGTTTTAAACATTTATGACAGAGTTCTAAACATTTTTGATGAAGTGGGGAAGGAATTTTAACATCAAATCTTCCTGAATGAGGGACCCTTCACTTCTGATAAGAGTCTGACTTTCAAGTTCCGGTCGTGTCCTGGTCCTTGGGTTCCATGCAAAGGAGGATCTTCAGTTCCACAGTCATTTCAGGTCAAGAGTCTTCTTTTGTGCATGCTCTGGTGACGTGACTTTACAGTTTTTCTGAAAGACAATCCTTAATCACTTTGTTGATGAGAGACTGGGTCTGTTCAAACTGGCTCTAAATGGGCCCGTGGTTATAATTCCGTCCTTAGACAAATTTAAGAATTTAAATTTACCTCAGAGATTTAAGAATAAACTGCCTAGAGGCCAGCCGAGTGGCAGAGTGGTTGAGTTCACGTGATCTGCTTTGGCAGCCCGGGGTTCACGGGCTCAGGTCTCAGGCTCAGACCTACATACTGCTCATCAAGCCATGCCATGGCAGTGTCCCACGTACAAAATGGAGGAAGATTGGCATGGATATTGCTCTGGGACAATCTTCCTCAAGCAAAAAGAGGAGAATCAGCAACCGATGTTAGCTCAGGGCCAATCTTCCTTAGCAACAAGAAAAAGAATAAACTGCCTAGAGTGACACTGACAAAAAATTAAGTCAGAGGTGAAGGAAACCCTATATTCTATTTTGAATCCTTGGCTACAAAAGGGGTAAGAATCATAATGAATAGGTGGGAATTCTATGAGCTAAATTTCTGAGAAAAAAAGATTATGAATCTGTTTTTACAGTTTGCTTCCAAAGCGTTTTCTGCTTTGATATTTGCCTAAGATTTACTAAAGTTTAAGTGCTTAAATAAGGGAATGGGTTTTATGTAAATAAGATAAGTTCATAGCTATAGATCTGTGGAGATTTGAGCAGAGGGCCAGGATCCTAAATATCAGGAAAACACCAGTTTACAGTGCACACAAGCCTAACGCCATTCCAACCCTGAGCACTTAAAAATCAAGAATGGCTACTTTAAAGTAAATGTTTCGAGACCAGAGCTGAATTGACAACATTTGAAGCACTGAAGAGCGTGATTAAGGAATTGAGCCATGGATCTAGTGAGGCCCAGTAGAAATCGTTATTTCACTGCAGCCAAATCTCCATTCATTCATTTATTCATTCACTCAACAAATACCTGTTAAGCAATTACTAAGTGCTGGGCGCCCTGCTAACAGTGAGGAATGCAGCACAGTCACTCAGAGAGGTAAGTACTAGAAGAGGAATCAGCATAGGGCCATGAGGTCACGTCGGGGAGACAGTGAATCAGATTTGGAGGGTCAGAAAGGACTCTCCTAATGTGCTGAAAACAAATATACTTCTGGAAGAAGAGGCTAAGGGGTGAAAAGAAGTCAGAGCAAGGCATTGCAAGCAGGGGCGAGGTACATCCAAAGGCTTGAGGGGAGAGACCTATGGGAGGTAAAATGATGAAACACACATCTACCCTTAAGAAGCTCTGGAACGACTTGTATTTTAGGCACTTTACAGTTTACAAAGCCCTTTCCCATCTTAACTTATCTGGTCCTCTCACAACAAAGCTGTGAATTAGATGTTCATTATCCTAGGGGTCTCAATGAATAAGTATTTATTGAATTGATGTGTGTGTATGTCGGGATTTGATTCTAGATACCAGAAACTACTCCAGTGAGTTTAAACAGAAAAGATTTCATATAGGAAATTCTGTCTTCAGAAAACCACTGGAAGGGTTAGAGGAGCAGGTTCCAGGCTGAGCTTCCTGGAGTGACTCCTGAACCACCTAGTTCTAGCCCAACCAGGGAGAGGCTTCTTCATCTCCCTACTTATGGGAGGTGCTTATTGGAGCTGTGATTACCTTTCTAGAGGCCTCCCTGGACCAAGTTCACCAAGAGGAAGACCAAACAGAAACTTCTCTGCTTAGTCCCCTGACCCAGGCTTGGAGTGGCCTCCTGCCCCCTAAGGCCCCACTCTCCATGAGGAGCACCAGCAGTGGAGCCAGTAGGAATGTCAAACTGGCCAACAATGTCTCCATGGTCACCAGATCCACAAGCAGGTGAGAGCAGCAATTTGGGGATTCAGGAATTGTGAGTGTCCCTGGATTTTGTTGTCCTCATTGTCTTAGCCTCATCCTCATAAAGTAGAGCCTGCTAGACTTAAGTGTTAATAGTTTATTTGGGAGTGTGATTCTAAGGAGAAAGAATGAGGGACAGGAGAAGGAAGTGGGAAAGGAGAGAGAGCCAGTGCAGACTGCTTATGGAGTTGGCCACCACTACAGGCCACTGGGAGGTGGATTCCACAGGTCCTCTAGGAAACTTAGGAAATGCATCTCAGAGCATCCATCAGAGAAAGACAAGGGGGAATTCATCCATTGGCTCCCTTCCTCCATTGGTCAAGAGTTGCCTATATGTGATTATTGCCCCGCACTTCTAAGTTGCATGCTTGTGAGCGATCGGTGGTTTCACAGGCCTGAGGCAACGAACTCTCAGGCTGCAGCTGCAAAGAAAACCAAAGCCTTGAGGAACTGACAACCCATTGCCATTGTAGTAGTTTGAGTAGGAGTTGAAGCCAAGATCTGATGTACACAGGAGTCCAATACATCCACGGACTGATGTATTCCTTCTCTACCCTGACTGCCCATAAGTAGAGCATGAGGTTAGCTGCTCTGCGTTAGTAGAGAATTCATTTGGGCCCTCAGGGCTAAAAATGCAGCAAGAAAGGAGGGGCTCAACCCAAGGCTGAATTGTCACATCCTCCCCATCTCTGCTCCCAGGATAGGCTTCTCCATTGCCCACAGTTTGGCCCAGGATGGGGCCCACGTGGTGGTCAGCAGCTGGAAGCAGCAGAACGTGGACCGGGCAGTGGCAGCACTACAGGGGGAGGGGCTGAGTGTGACGGGCACCATGTGCCAAGGACCAGGAGCGGCTGGTGGCCACGGTGAGGAGCGTAGAAGGAGGTGCAGATGAGGACACTGGGATTCTGCTGCTAATGACCCACACTAGCGGAGAGGACTAAAGGCACCACAACATGAATCAAGTCAACTATGTGTCACTTGACTCCTGCCCAGGAGGCCCCCAGTCTCCCTGAAGAGACCTGGGCAGAGAAAGGAGATGTTCAGGGAGGGAGGCGTCCATATGAACAGGATTCAGGCAGATAATGAGGCGGGCAGCATGCTGCTGGGGAAGGAGAGTCTGTTTACAACCACCAGCTACAGTGTTGAGTGGTCAGCCAGGCCCTGCTGGAAGATTCCTGAGGAAGGATTGAAAGGGTTTGGAGACGCTGTGGAGAAGAGGGGCTGATTGTATGGTCAGAGCTAGAGTGTCCTCAGGGAAAAGGAAAGGTGACAGTGCAACTTCAGGAAACAGTAGAGATGAGAGATGTGTTTGGGGACTGGTAGCCAACCCTGCCTGAAACAGAGAAGGATATGAAACGGTAACTGGAGTGAAACTCTGCACGTTTTTGTCCAGAAGCTCAATGCCTTGTTCTTAAAAGAGAAGAGGTGGCTCTCCATGCTCACTTGGTGTGGTCCTCTCCTAGATTGGACCAGGCATTGCCTCAGGGACTGCAAACAGGAACAACCTCCCACTGCAGCAGAAACCTTCTTTCCTTCCCTGATGCTAGTCCTCTACATCTCTTTCTTTCCCACAGGCCCTGGAACACTGCAGGGGTGCGGGCTTCCTGGTATGTGGCGGTGGTCAGTCTCACGGTGGGAAGTACCTTGGGGAGAAGTGAGTGGGTCTGGGACAAGATGAGGTCTGGGGAAGCCAGTGTGGGGTGGGTCGGGCGTCATCCTCACCTTCTGTGTGACCCTTTCTTTGTCTCGGCTCACACACCTGGGGGGGGGGGGTCATCAGCTCCCACAGGTCCACTCTCCTCTCACAGATGCACACAATTCCCCATCTGTGAGATGGAGGTAAGAGTGTCTAAGCTGAAGTTCTGGTCCCCACTGTCCAGGAGCTCCCAGTCTGCAGGGAGTGTCCAATGTGGAACCAAATAATCACAACAAATTGGGGGCACAGAGAGGGAATGACTCCCTTCCTTGCTCAGGGATGCTTAACGCCCAAGGAGATAACCCTGAAATCCAGCTGCATTAGTTTCCCAGGGCTGCTGTAACAAAGTACCAAAAACTGGGTGGCTTAAACAAGAGAAACTTATTGCCTCACAGTTCTGGAGGTCAGAAGTCCAAGATCAGGGCATCAGCAGAGTTGATTCCTTCTGAAGCCATGAGAGAGAATCTGTCCCGTGCCTCTCCCCTAGCTTCTGGTGATCTGCTGGCCGTCTTCAGTGTTTCTTGGCTCGTAGAAGCATCACTCCAATCTCTACCCTCATCTTCACATAGTGTTCTCAGTGTGTGTCTGTGTCTCCAAATTTCCCCTTTTCATAAGGACACTATTCATATTGGGTTAGGGCCCAACCTACTGCAGTATGACTATCTGCAATGACCCTATTTCCAAATGAGGTCACATTCTGAGGTACTAGGGGTTAAGAGTTCAACATACAAATCTGGATGGTACACAGTTCAGTCCATAACACCAGCCTTCCCCAGACTCAGCTGGCCGGTGCTTCCTAAGCCCCAGATGGAACATCCTTTTCCGACTGGTGCCCTTGGAGACACAAGAAGATGTCCCCTAGACTCTGGGGTTTTCTGCCTGCAGAGTCCTCAGCCTGATCCCCATATTCCTGCATCTTCAGGATGCCTCCTTCCATGCATGTGAAAGAAAGCCAACACTCTCCCCACTTCCCCTTGTTAGAAGCCATCACGCCCACGTTCTAATGCGGTATATTTGCTAATACAGTGAGAACACGCATTGGACTGACTGTCTCCTCTCCCCCGTCCTTCATTTGCTCTGATTTCAGATCCTGAATGTCACTGTGCAGGCCCCAGCCCTGCTGCTGAGCCAGCTGCAGCCCCACATGGAGAACAGGGAGTGAGGGCAGGGAAGCGGGTAGGGAAGGAGTCATTTGGTGTCAAATATGGATCAAGGGAGCTGGAGCGAGAGGGGCCAGATGTTGACTTAGACCTTCCCACTGGGAAGCAGGCTTGGCTGAGCCGTGATACAAGAAAAGTGAGAGTTTGACTTTCAGACTCTGGGTCAGCGAAACAAACAAAAGAATTCTATCCATTAGTGTCATTCTCTTATATCTCCAGTGCCCAGGGAATCTGGAAGCAGGACAAGGGATCCACAGACAGAAGTGCCCGGAGTTCTGGAACTGGGAAACTAGAAGTGGCCTCTCTTGGGCTGCAGCAGCTCAGGGCACAAGAGTCCAGGCTGATGACCTTGAGGCACCCAGCAGCATGCCCAAAACAAGAGCAACCATACTTCATACTTCTCAGTCAGATTCAACTCTTCCCTCCCTCTTCCTAACATTTACAGTAGTCCTATCCTCCCCAACTCACCCCATCCCCTTCCAGGCAATTCCCAAATTAGAAAGCCTGCTTCCCTGTGTCTCCCACAGCCTAAGGTGGATGCTGCCTGCCCCGTTCCCTCCTCACCTGTGGGCTGGACCAAAGGCTGTCTCTGTCGCTCTGATTTCCCACTGGTCTCAGTGACTGGGATGTCTCCAGATGTTCTTCAGGAGCCCAGCATTTTTCCTGGGGAAGGAACAATCTGGCTGTGCTCCAGAGAGTTCTTTTGCCTCTTGGGTTTGCAGGCTCAATCATTAGAAGCTTTCCATTGTCTGGCCACCCTAGGAACACAGCTTTTCCTCAAAGTGCTCTAAACACCCCATTCCAGTCCTCCAACAGAGGCCAGTCTCACTTCTGTTCCAAAATAGATCCCCCTGGGCATATCCCAGTCCCTCAGGCCTCTCCCCTGCTAAGCTGTGCCTCCTCTGAAGGTCAGAGCTGCCCAGTTTTCTCCATCAGCATTGCCCTCATTCCCTCTTTAAAATGGTCAGTTGAGGTTTTCTCAGTCTCCAGTACAGTGCTTTGTAGACGTGGCCTTAAGACCCCTCTTCCACCTGGATTGCTTCCCTGCAGCTCCTCCCCTGTTGAAATTCTGGAGCAGCCACTGAATTCAGCAAGCACGTCATGAATAGCTCATAGAGGCTGGGCTTCTTCTCTGGACCTGTGTGACCATCTGTGAAATTCAACCAGGACTTCTAACTAATAATAACTTCCAAGGCCGCTTCCAGCCCTAACACTGACATGGTGTGGTATTAGATTTAACCGTAAAAAAAACCAATGTCATTTTTGTATGTAACAAATGGACAAACATTACTATAGTTCAGCTCATTACAATGGTTTTCAAATTGTTTTTAACAGCAGGATCCTTTTATCAAAGAGTATCCTTCATAGGAGCCCAATACATAAAACAGACAAAAGCAGAGATGCCCAGATGGAAACGTGGATTGGCTGGTGCCTACCCATTTGTCTGCTGCTTAATCTCCTGTTGGTGGTCCTGGGCACTTCTGCAGAACTGGCTTCACAAAATTGGTTGAAAATTAGTAAAGTAATGAAGACAGTATGGGCTTTGGAGTCAGAGAGACTTAACTTTAGATCCCTGCTCTGTCACTAGCTACACATTTTTGGCAATTAAACTCTCTGGGCCTTCATTCCCTTATCTATTTAGTGGGAATAATGATACTTGGTAGACCCATAGTGAAGATGAATTGACTTGATAAAATATGTCAATTACCAAGCAAAGTGCACATACTAGAGACTATGTATATTTATGTATATTTATTATAGTAAGCATTATTTTCAAATGAATATTATCTACAGTATATAGTAAGTACTATAAATATAATTTAATAATAATTAAATTTGTTTTAATATTTATAATAAACATGGTTAATATTATCACACTATTATTCCTAATTATAGGATCTGAGCAAGTAAGAGATTACTTTCTCCAACCTTGTAGACAAGGCAAGAGTTCATGAAGGAAACGCCATTTAAATTCGACAGTGAAGGATTGTTAGGATTTTGGCAAGTAGATAAGAATGAATGGAAACAACTGCAAAAATGATGGGAGGCTTAGGGAAGCTTCAAAGAACATGAGGAACCCTTGGTGAATAAAAGTAAGTGGTCAGACAGCACAAAACATGGAAAGTATTGATCCTTAGACATTAAGCAGTAGTTCAGGGAGGATCCTCTGAAGTTTTGAAGAAAGACAATCATGTGATCATATATTTTAATAATCTCGAGTATATTTTATCCAGCCTTCTAAATTTTAAGAAAGTATGAAAACAAAAAGGACATTGGTCATGGGAGCCAGTATAAACAGCTAGAAGGAGGAAGAGAGCCGCAAGGACACAATGTACCACAGGCAAATAAATTAAAAATAATAGATAAAATATTTTTTAATTTATCATCTTAAACACATCAACGAGTCAGCAAAAAAGTCAAAAAAGTCTCAAACCAAACAACTAAGTGAAAGCAGGAGCCTGGAGAGTTAAGCTGAGCACTACAGTCAGCTTTTGCCCTGTGGGTGTTTTTCAAATCCTCTTTGGCAAATGCTGAGCCCTTTGGCTTCTGTTTACCTGGCCTCCCAGGAAATAAGAGACAAAACAAAAGGACAGCCCTAGGAAGAAAGTCCAGGAAGGAACCTTCCAGTAGTGAAGCTGGGGATAGAAATGACTATCCCCTCATTGCAAGGGTGAACCAGAAATAGAACCCTGGAAGACTGCAAGGAAAATTAACTCTTTCAAAATTAGAGGCTGGTAGAGGGAAAAAGGGAAACGTGGCTGAGAATTTGGACCCCAAGGTACCCTCATGCAGATTTGTAATTTAAATTCCTGCCACTTAGGTGATTCAAAACAAACACACACACACACAAACCAGCAAACAAAAAACCTTAAGCCAAGAATTTAATTTAAAATTGTCCCAGACGAGTCTTAGCCCCAGGTGCTTCACAGAGCCCAAAACAAACCTACAAATGAACTCACCTTAACTGCAGGCCTCAAATAGTTCTCGTAAATAAAATATTAAAGTAAGATCAGCTCATAGTCAAAAATAATTAAAACAGGACATCAAAAGCAAAAATTAGCAGAAACAACAGAAACAGACATAAGTTCTTTAAATACTGGAATGATCTGACACAGATTATAAAATAATTAAATGCATTTTTTTAAGAAATAGAAAAAACAAGCTAGGAAATGTGTTAAGAAAACAAAGAAACTATAAAGAATTACCAAGCACACTTGAAATGTAGACAAACAGAATGCTATAAGTTTGAAATTTAAATCCAGTGGATGGACTTCAGAACAAATATGACATGGCCAAAGAAATAATTAGTGAACTGAAAGATGGAACTGAGAAAATTACTCTAGAATGTAAAGCAAAAATACAAAAAGATGGAAGATATGATAAAGATACTAAGACACATGGAGGAGAAAGCACGAAAGTTACACCAACGTCTAATTAGTATTCACAATGATAAGAGATAGAGAAGAAGAATGGTAGAGGCAATAACTGAAGAGATGATATCCAAGAAGTTCCAGATCTAATGAAAAATACCAACTCACATATCCAAGAACTACAAGTGTCAAGCAGAATAAATATTTTTTAAATTCTGCACTTAATCATATCATAATGAGTCTGATAATTAACATAAGAAATTCCAGAACACAAAGGAAAATGAAAAGATCTTAAAAGTAGCCAGAAAGAAAAGAGAGATTACCTTCAAAGGGATGGAAGTAGTTAGATTGCCTTCTCATCGGTAACAATAGACGCCAGAGAGAATGAAATGAGATCTTCAGTAAGCTCAAAGAAAATAACTATCAATCTAGAATTCTATACCTACCAAATACCTTTCAAAAATTAGGGCAAAGTAATAACATTTTCAGACAAACAAAAACAGAGTTTACTATCAGAAGACCTTCACTAAAAGAAATTCTCCATCTTACTTCAGGCAGAAGGAAAAATGATATCTCATAAAGAAAACCTAAGATGAAAATCAGAATGAAAAACACAGAATTGAGTAACATATGAACAGATTTAACTACTTACTGTAAAAAGAAATAATGATGTTTTGTGGGATTAAAAAACAAAAATAAACAAAGAAAATAATATTCAGATCAGGAGGATGGAAATTGAGTTAAGGTGTTGTAAGATTTTCATGTTGTTTAAGAGAGTAAGGACATTAACTTTAAACTCTGATAAGTTAAACAGGCCTATTTTACTTTCTAGGTTACAGCTACAAGAATGGCAAGAGAGTATGCAATATATTTTCAAACTAGTGGAAGAAGAAAATGGAAAGAGAAAAAATAATCCAAAAGAAAACAAAGAACTGAGGAAATCAAAAACAAAGCACAAAATTGGATGCTAGGTATTAATTCCAGTATATCATTATTAATTAATAATAAATTAACCATTAATAAATTAATAATTAATAATAAATAGATTCATTACAGTTAATACAAAGATTATCAAGCTAGAATTTTTTAATCAAATTATATGCTATATTCAAAAGAGATATTTTTTTAAAGTTACTGAAGGTTGAAAGAAAAGGATGAAAAAAGATATGGAAGGCAAATTCTAACCGAAAGAAAGCTAGTGTCACTGCAGTAATATCAGACGAAGGCAACATTAGGTCAAAAACATTGCTAGAGATAGAAACAGTTGTTTCATAATGTTAAAAGGATCAATTCACTAAATAAATGTAAAATTTTTCATTGCTATATATAAACTGAAAGCAAAATTTGACATAAGTAGAAAGAAAAGCAGACAAATCCACAATTATACCAGGATATTGTCTACTTCTCTCTCAGTAGTTAATTAGATCAACTGTAGAATATGCATTCTTTTCAAGCACAGAGAGACTATTTATAGAAATTGATGATAAAGCAAGTCTCAACAAACTTCAAGAGATTGAAATAAAAAGGACTGCTTTCTCTGCAATGCAATTAAAGCGGAAATCAACAACAAAAAATTACTTTAAAAACTTCATATGTTTGGCAGCTATAAGCAAAATTAGAAAATATCTATAACTGAGTATAATGAAAATATTGTATATATAAGCTTTTTTTCTTGAGGAAGATTAGCCCTGAGCTAAGCTCTGCCACCAATCCTCCTCTTTTTTGCCAAGGAAGACTGGCACTGAGCTACCATTTGCGCCCATCTTCCTCTACTTTATATGTAGGATGCCTGCCACAGCACGGCTTGACAAGCAGTGAGTAAATCCTCACCCGGGATGTGAACCGGCAAACCCTGGGCTGCTGAAGTGAAACGTGCAAACTTAACCACTGTGCCACCAGGCCGGCCCCTGTATAAGCTGTTTATATGATTATAGTTTTATTATAACAAAAGGATACAAATTAGAACCAGCCAAAAGAAGAGACACATATGACAGAATCTAGAACTGGGAGGGCTCCAAATGCAAAGTCTTGTGTCCTCAGGAATGTGTGCAGTTTGAAAGAGAGGCCTGGCCTGGAGATACAAATTTGAAAGCCATCAGCATATGGATGAATATTGAAAACCGTGAGACTGGGTGAGATCATCAAGGAAATGAGTGTAGATAAAAAGGACAAGAGGTCTAAGGAGTGGTTCCAAGATGCCAGCAAAGGATACTGAGAAAGAGAAGCAAATATGGGAGGAAAACTAGGAACCAGAAGAGTGGAGGGTACTGAAAGCAAAGAAAGCATTTCACGGAGGAAGGTGAGATTGACTGTATCAAACACTTCTGGCAGGTCAAGTAAGATGAAAATGGGATTTGGCTATTGAATTTAGCAACACGGAAGGCATTGCTGACCTTGACGAGAGCAGTTTCATTGGGTTCATGAGCTCTTACCAAGATTTAATAGATTTTTCTTAAGCAAATCTTTCAGCATCTGCTATACGTATGCCCTTAGGACAATTTTCAGGGACTTAAAGATTGTTTCTTTAAGAACAATTTTCTTGGCTATGATTATTAACCAATGGTTATCTCACTGGGAGAGCTTCTGAGCAGCTGCTCACACTGCCCTTGCAGCAGCAATCCGTGTTCTCTTTCTCTTTTAGGTGAAACTTCTCAAAAGTGTTGTCAGTACTTCATGTTCAGTTCCTGTCTCCTTCCCCTCGCCCCAAATTCTTTCTTGAACAAGCTCCGATCAGGCTTTGACCCCACTCCCACCATGAACCAAATGAAACTCTTCTTGTCTATATAAACTATTAAAGCAGTACTTAGAAGGAGAATTACAGCCTTAAATGCTTCATTGATAAAAGAAAATTAATGAGGTAAGCATCCATCTTAAGAAGTTCTAATAATAGCCAACTGAACCCAAAATGGTCAGTTCTGAATAGGACAGCCCAGAAATGCAGGTTTTCCATCAAGGGATTCAAGGTTGTCAAATTTTAACACTATAGTGAAATTATTTAAGATATTCCTTATGTTTATAGTATGTGAGGCTATTTTTTTGGATCCACCATTACTCCCCATAGAACATCAATGTAGACAATCACCCACTGGTGAGAGCACCTTAGTGAAGTCCAGGAGTCCAGTGGAGAAGTTCCAACCCACCACTGCAGGAAAAAAATCCAAGAATTAGTGCATTGAAGACAGTAAGAACATTTTCACTTTATCTGAATCACCCCTCCTCTAAGGTGGCACAGGTCTGTGCCAAGATCTCAAATATACAACCTAACTCTACACCTCAAGGAACTGGAAAAATGAAAGCAAACTAAGCCCAAAGTTAGCAGAAGAGAGGAAATAACATATATCAGAGTAGATATAAATGAAATAGATGCTAGAAAACACTAGAAAAAAATCAACAAAACTAAGAGCTG